GGAAATTATTTGTTTTGATTGTTTTGGAATTGAGCCAAAGTTAACGTGAAAAATGAGGCTAGGAAACTTGTTGTGTCAAAAGCAAGAGATTTTTATTTACTCAATTTTCTCAAGAAAAATTTATGGTATAGTGTCTAGATGGTGGAATCCAAGATCATTAATTAGATTGCAACAATTGATTCGACTAATTTTTGGCATTCGTTATTGTGTATATGCATTCTTACTTCAACAATGATATCGGTAATGACACATGATACAATAATTGCAGTTGTTGAAAAGATATTAGTTGTTAATGTTTAGATGTAGAGAACATATAATATTTTTAGTCGGATAAGTTTTTTTTTTATCCTCCAATTAAAAAAAAAATCTACTATATTAGAGAAGCAAAAAGTTAATACAAAAAATCTAAACCATTATCTTTTTGGGTTCAAAAAGATATCCTTATATTTATTTTTGAATAATTTGTCAAAAATTTGAATTATTCCTATAGAAAATATTTCATGCAATTAACCATTATCTTTTTGGGTTTAAAAAGATATCTTTATATTTATTTGTTCAATCTAAATCGGTGAAAAATCAACCATATTAGAGAAGTGAAAAGTTAATACAAAAGTAAAACATGTTAGTTAATAATGATTATGCATTTAAGTTTTTCAATTGCTTAATCGTCTTTTTTTATATATAATTAAAAAATATGTAAACAAATTATTGGACCTTAACACAATATGTTCTAATTCGGGAAAAAAATAGAAAGTATAATAAACGAATACTAATATATGAGTTATATAATATAAAATTAAATTTATAGTTTAAGATAAACTTATCAAATGAAATAATACCTAGCAACGACATAATGTCATAATTATTAATGTAAAAATTTAGAAATTTACTCGCACACAAAGGAAAAAAGGGAATAAAGTTTATAATTTAACATAAATTCATTTAATGAAATAACAGATCAACACTAATATAAGAAAAAAGTTGTTATTGCAAAAACCTAAAGAAATGTGGAAAATAGAAACATAGAGGGGAATAAAAGGAAAACATAATTTTTTTTTTTTTTTTTGGTCTTTTTTGGGAATAATTTGTCAAAAAATAATTGTTTTTGGCAGATAGATAAGTCGAAGGCAATTTTTATACATAAAATTACAATAAAGCATGAACATAATGGTTAATTAAAAAAAAAAAGGGATAATAAAGATTCATGAGCAAAGTGACCAAAATATTATAATATAGCAAGTGAAATATGTTACGAAAATAATAATAATAATAATAGAAAGCACTTGTATAATCGAAGAAGATGAACAACAAAACTCGCTTTACATATGTAAAACCCCGTATATAAAGAAAATGTAAGAAACTATTAAAATAAATGGTATATCAAATGCTTAAATAACGAGTATGATGTAGAAACATCACAATTAGCATTCTACAATAAAATCAACAAAAAGTGCCTAAAAATATTCAATAATAAAATAATTTAATTGAATAAAAAAATATAATGCTAGCATAGATGGAAAAAATGCAAGAATGTAAATAGCTATATAACATTAAATTAGTGTATAGAATTGGAATAACTCTCAAAGTTATGGATAATAATGATATCGACTCGTTTTCATCATAAACCACACAATAATTATAGATATTATAACATCTAAAATTATGAAACAAACATAAGCAGATAGTCGTAAATAAATTGTAAAGATATATCAAATAAAATGTGTACCAACTATAAATAATCAACTCACAAAATTTGTAAAGTATTAGTATAGAAGTTTCAATGATATAACAAAATAACTAAGAAATAGATGTTATCACAAAGAAAACACCATGTATTTTTTAAGGAAACACAAATTTGGAAGTCAAAACAGAAAAATATTGAAAGTTGAAATAGAAAATGAATGTTCAATAATCGATAGTGAACATATTTATATATAATAAATGAGATAAAATTGAAATGATTTATTTATATCATGACTCTAAGATTATACCAACGATTAATTAATTTAAACATAACGTTGTTAATTATATACTTTCCAACCTAATTTTTCTTCTTCCTTTTTTTTCGAGTCGGATCTGGCCGAGATTAGCCCGAGTCCACCCACACATGGATTGGGCTTAGCCCAACCCATTTTATTTTTAGTTGGACCAAAGCTCACAAACACCAACTAAACCTCTTTTTTTTTTTTTTCTTTTTGGATCAAACCTTCTTTCTTTCTTTCTTTTTCCTTCTTCCTCTCACTCTCTCTTCTCCTTCTCTCTTCTTCTTCTTCCTCTCTTTGTCCAGCTTCTTCAAAAGAAATAAACTAGAGATGAAGTCTTTGGTTCGATCTCTCTTTCATTCCTTCCTTCCCTCACTTTCTCATTATCTTCCTCTTCTCTTCTCCTCATTCCTACCGCCTTATCTCGTCTTCTCATTCCCTCTCTTTACTCAATCTCCATGGAAGAATGAACTAGAGTTCATCTTTGGGTTGTTCTCTCTCTTCTAATCCTCCTTCAACCTCCTACTCCCTCTATTGATTCTCCATCAAAATAAAATAAAATAAACCCACATTCAATCATTTACTTAAAATTTCTCAAAATTGACCAAACCGTAGGTTTTAATTTTTTTTTTTCAATTAGCCTTAATTGCCTTGATTTCTCTTGAGATCATGCCAATTCAAACCTTTTAGAACCCAATTTCTTGAAAACCCCTAAATTTTATAATTGTTAAAAAAATCTAAAAACTCTAGGGTTCAATCTAGTTCAATTCAGCCTAAATTTGGGGTTTAATCCCTAAATTGACAACTTAAATACATTTAATTAGCCTTTTTTTCAATCATTCAAACTCAATTTTAATCCAAACTCAAAAATTCACAAACTCGAAAACCAAAATTGCTTGAAACCCTAAATTCAAGGAAAAATTACATTGATATGATTAGTTTACCTAAAAGAATTTGAATTGAGGATGATAATGAGAGGTACTATTGCTCTAATTAAATAGATAAATCCTTTTCTTCCTTTTGTGTTTTTTCTTTCTTTCAGCTTTTTGTTTTTTTTTTTTTTTTTGGTTATTGTTTTTTTCTTCAATTTTTTTAAGAACCAACTTCCTCTCCCTTTTTTGTTGTTGTTTTTATATAGTTATGAAATTATTGATTCCCTATCGATGATGATGTGAGATTTTTTTCCAGTGTATGGTGTGAGGTGAATTAATACTAGAGTGGAAAGGTATAGAGTATGGTAGAGACTAGCATTATGGTGACTTGAACGTACAGGTTGAATTAAGTGCATTGTAAGTTGCTGTAGATTGGTGGTTAACTGTAAGGGTGATTGTAGGATTGTGGAGAGTTGACAGTTGTGTGCTGCAAGAGTTGTAACAGGTGTAAGGATGGCTGAATAGGGTAACTTATGGTAAATGGAGGTTGCAAGTTGTGGAATAAATGCAGTATGAGGTATGGAGTCGATGGTAGTAGGGGTTGTCAGAGTGATTATGGGAAATTGCTTGTGCAGGATGGGATAGTTGACAATAGGGGTATGGTTGTAGAGGTTGGGCAGGAATGGTGGCTCTAAGTTACAGCATGAAGGCTGTATAAGACGTGGCAGCAGCAGATGGCTAGTCGACTTGGGAAAAATTGCACAGAGATGGAGGGGGACTGTCCCTCCATCTCAATCCCCCTCCATCTCAACAATAACCTATTGAATTGAAATACCACCAATTTCATTCCAAATCCATTTCAACAAAAAACACAAAAGTTACATCCATCAACCTAAAGCCATTACATGCATACTTACAAAATAGTACCTAAAAAACCCTAATTAACCAATCGAAACACCATCAATCCAAACTGATTACATACGTACTTACAAAATAGCACTTGAAAAATCTAAAAAGCTGAGTTTTAAGGCTTTTGTTGAGTTTGAGGGCTGGTGAAGCTTCGAAGCTATGTAAGAGTTTCAAGCTATGGTTAAGCTTTAGGACTAGTTGCAACAACTATATGAAGAGTGGTTTCAGGGTGTGGATATCGACGATCGGTCAGGTATGTTAAAAGAGTTGCAGCAAGTCATAGGCTTGGATGAGAGAGATGTTAGTGATGACTTTATAGTAGTAAAGGGTGGTAGATGGCCAGCTGTTGCTGGTGAAGGGTTACGACGAGCTATTAATTGGTTTTAGATGGTGATCGATGGCTAAAGGGACTCTTGTCGAAAGATGCAACAGCAAGGAAAAGGATCGACAACTGTGAGAAAACTGATTATTAAGATAAGAGCGGCTGAGGAAGAAGAAAAGATAAGAATGGCTGATGCAGAGCTATGAGAAGGCACAAATAAAAGGTAAAAGCTTCGATGGCAGAAGTGTTATTACAAAAGCAAAAGAAGGCTAAAAATTATCTTAAAAGAAAAAGAAAATACTATTGCATGAACAGTAAAAAAACAGTGAAATAAGTCTTGCACTACAATGAAAGGAATAGTGAAACATTCTTGTGTTTTAGAGTTCTTGTAATTTGAGAGCAATAGACATGAGAAAGGCTGTTGATGTGATAAAAGCTTAACTACCTTCATAACGAATCAAGAAAAAGGAGCATATATTTACACTCAAGAAATCACATTCATTGATACGGAAACGATACAGTCATTGGGCAACAAAATTCATATATTTAAAAATAAATATTTTGATGTACATGCAATTCCATAAATGCGCAAACATGTAGAACATCTTACCGGATTCAAATTAAAATCACTAGTAAACCAAAAATGCTGATTGCTGCAGAACACTACCCGAATAAGGATCCATAATCCAATCTATCAATTCTACCAACCAAACACAAAAACTTTAGCACAGGAAATATTATATAAAAGTAACATAAATCTTATACGAGCCACATCACTCATCAGATTCACTTCATAACACAAGTATCATCTAGGAAGGACTTGAACCCAAGCAAAAGCGCATTTTAGATCAGGAGCAATCTCTTATTACAACTACTTGATAATACACATTTTCATCATCATTTACTCCTTGCAAATCAAGCTTTAGCAACTTGCTCAACAGGTTCGGCTTCTGAATCACCATTTACTTTCGCACGCTTGGTTTGGTAATCCTTTACAGCAGCCTTTATAGCATCCTCCGCAAGCATGCTGCAGTGCAGCTTAACTGGAGGAAGAGAAAGATGTTTTGCAATCTCCCTGCAAATTCAGATGCATGATATTAAGGACTCAAGTTGCGCTCTTCAAGCTTTGAGATGGGGCCTCGTTATATATTAAGAAAAACGTGGACCCAAATTCTATTACTGAAGCTATGAAGTACCAAGCATGTTAAGCAGAAACTTTTTGCTTCACAACAAAGACACTAAAACAACAAAAGCGTCACTTACTATAAAAACTAGTAATTACAATTTTATGACAAGAAATAGAAAGACAAAGGTTGCATCCCTATTGCTCCCCTACACCAAGCAACATTGACAGGGACGTGATGACAACACACAAGACATCCAATCTAAAATTATCAACAGCTAATGCACATCTATAATTTTCCTCTTCCTTCATGTAGCTATTCTCTGTCTGATGTCTGAGGTCTCCTACTCTTTCTAATACCAAAACAACCAAAGCCTATACTTTCAATTGTATCAGTAGTGATTTAATGTGTCATACATGTATCAAATATAAGTTCCCTCTTTCCTCCTACAAACTCATATGTTTGCGTTATAGAAAGGTCATCCCGTGTTTCCATCTATACACTTCTATTGGTTAATGTGTGTATTGTTTACATTAGTGATTTGATGTTTGAGTACGTGTCCTTAAAAGAATTCATATAAGTTCATAAAAAAGAGAGAAGTATAATATTAGAGAATTAAAAAAAAAGGGCTCTTTCAGGAGAAAATTGAAGACAAAAAAAAAAAAAGGAAAAAAAAAGAGCAGTATATTTCAGCTGCCCAAACTCACACAAAGAAGATACAGAACCATTCACTCAAATGCACAACTATTTCGTGCAAATTCAAAGACATAGAAACAGGAAAAAGCACTTTCTGTTGTTCACAAACAAAAAGCACATAAGATCTGAGAACAATAAAGGAGTAAGACTTTCTTTTTCATTTGGTTTGTAAGATCAAAAAAGCACTCCGGTTGACCCAAAACAAAATGCAAATAAACTGAGTTTTGTGTTGTCAAGGAAGTAAGACCATGCCAAATACTAGAATAATATTCAAGAGAACAATAAAGTAAAAAATGTATCATGGACCTCTTCTTATAACTAAATCATAAAACTCACTAAAAGAAATATAAGGCACAAACAACCACATTGAGAGAACATTTTAAGATCCACGTCGAGTCTCACATAAACATCTGCATTCGATTATGACCAACGGAAGATGACCACACCATTACTTTTCTCTGATTCATTGCCTTTCAAACCCGCTAACTGATTTCCAGCCATAGGTGTACAAAATGAAAATTAAGTACTAATCTCTTTGCTGCCAATCAAGAATAATGTCAAAAATAGCTTTAACTTTGGCCATGGATATTTATGGACAATAATGCGAAAACAATCTTGCTGGCTAATAAAAGAAAGGACAAGGTCAGCCTACATACTGCCACCTGACATGTATGAGGAATAACAAGTTGTTGGTAAACACCAGGGAGGAGAGATCCAATGTTACACTGCTAATACATTTCAATCATGATAGAGCAATTCCATCTTCCTTGATCCAGATCGTCCACTTATTTTTGAAAGCAAATTCATATCCCTAGAGTGGCCCATTTGGTTCTATTCATAATCCCATAATCTTCAGCAAGGCCAAACAATCAATGCCAAATTCCAGATGCCAGATGCTTTGCAAAAAGTGGGTCCAACAAACTATCACCCTCTAAGTATGAAATTGCACAATCTGATATCCACAGAATAACTCTACATCCCTCAAAGTGTGATTCCTGAATTTAACATTAACCTAGTACAAGCTTGTATGCTACAAAAGTATACTGAAAAGCAGGCAGAGACTCGGCAGAACCAAAGCACATTATATATTCTATATCGAACTCACTTGATCATCCACCTCAACCATGCTTTACAAGTAACATACTATACCCATATCAGATGATATTGCTAATTAGGACAAGCAGATTAGGCTCAAGAACTATGAACGATTTAATAAACAACTTCTTTTTTAAAGCTCGCTTTGCTTTGGTACTTATTTTGTATTCTAGTAGGACAAAAAAGAAAGTATCAACGCACAAAATTATTACTTTTCTATCAAAAACCCAACAATTACAAGATTAAAACCCGACCAGGCAATTGTTATTAACACCTAAAATTAGCTAGCTGAAACTATAAAAACTCACGTGTTTTTGATGGTCAGAACTTCCTCCATTTGTTTCCCTTTCACCCATTCAGTAGCTGAAAAAACAACATAAATCAACCAAATCAGCCCCTCAAATTTCCTCTCAATTTATTCACAACAATACATAAATAAATTATAATCACTAAAAGAAATCGACGTTAACATTCAAATATTTTAATCAAAAAAATTTAAAAGTAAACAAGAAGAGCATACCAACAGAGGAGGAAGCAATAGCAGAGCCACAACCGAAGGTTTTGAAACGAGCATCGATAATTTCACCAGTGACTTCATCCACCTTAATTTGCAGCTTCATCACATCACCACAGGCAGGTGCACCGACAAGTCCAGTGCCGACCGTGGGATCAGTCTTGTCAAAAGATCCAACATTTCGCGGATTGTTGAAGTGATCAATCACCTTCTCGTGATAGAAACGTGGCAAGATCTGAGTTCTTTGCGCAAGCAATCTCTTGGATGCCAGTACCCTCAACATCGTTTGGCGTTGATAAGAAGAGGAAGAAGATTCTGTTTACGGAAGGAAAGTGAAAAATTATACGCGAGCCTAATCCGTGTGTTTTTGCAGGGATTGTTGGGATTGAATGGCGATCATTGGTGAACACGTGGAGGGTGGAGATGGTTTAGAGATTTTTGGGAATTTGACAGGTGTGAAAAATCTGTTTTTCTCCCGTATAGTCGGATGAGGTGGAGGATGGCTTATATATATATATATATATATATATATATATATATATATATATATATATATATATATATATATATATATATATATATATATATATATAACCACAGTATAAATTTATCAGTTTTTAACTTTTGCTCAATCCATTATGTGAATTTTAATTTTTTATTTGAATACATTAATTTTTTAAAAAATTAGTTATTAAATATTTCTATCAAATTTTTCATTAACTAATGTATCTGATATCTTCAAAATATTAAATTATAATTTTATCTTTTTTTTTCAATCGAGTATATGAATTTTAATTTTTTTCATTTGAATACATCAATTTTTTAAAAACTTTTAATCAAGCATTTTCATCACTTTCTTCATTAATTGATGATGTACTCAAATATAAAATTATAATTTTATCCTTTTTTTGTTGAAAGAAACTTTCTTCTTAAATTATTTTACTATTTATAATTTAACAAATAATTCAAAAAATTATTTTTATCTCTAAAATTTCAAGTCAAACTCGATTATGTTACTATTAAAAAAAACTTAGTTAGGTTTAAAATGAAAAATAAAGAAAAACATAAATAAAATTTTTCAATGAAAAATCTTTCATTTGTGTTTCCTTTAACTTTACGCCTAAAACCTAATTGATTTTCTTATAACAACAAGTCTTCCTAAGTTTAGTCCAAGATTTTATAACTAAAAATATTTTCTTTTAATTTTTTATCAAATTTTAAAATGATAGAATAATTTAAGGAGAAAATTCCTTACAACAAAAGATGAAAAAAAATGTAATTTGGTATTCGAATATGTCATAGATTAATGAAGGAATTAACGAAAATACTTAATTGATAGTTTTAAAAATATTGATTTACTCAATTTGAAAAAAATTAAATTTCATGTACTACATTGAAAAAAAGGGGCTAAATTATAATTTGATATTTTAAGTATAACGAACACAAGCATTAGCTAATGAAAAAATTGAATGACCTACTTAATTAACAATTTTGAGAAAAATTAACATGTTCAAATGAAAATAATTAAAGTTTATATATTGGATCGAGAAAAGATTAAAAGTTGATATCCTTATATTATAATAATAATTATTATTATTATGTTTGCTTCCTTTTGTTTTGTTGGGCTACGAAAAGGTAGGGCCTCCAAATTTTCTAGATTCAATTGAATAAAAAAACCTATGCTTTAGGTTGGGTTATGGCCCAAAAACGACAAACAACCACACTGGAAGCAGTAGTTTTTGTAAAATTGTTTTTTAAAAAAGGGGAGATTATGGAGCCATTCTTGTTTAATGAAAAACTAGTTGGCTTTTCGATCTATGCTTTGTACCTAATAAAATATGTTTATTTGAGTTTAATAACTTTTTAGTCAACTAAAATATATAAAAATTTTTAAAAATTATTTAATTTCATAATTTTTTATCAAAATTATGTATTTAAGTTTTTTTGTTTTTTATGTTTGTCATAAATTTTATAATTAAAACACACAACACTTATTATTTAAAATTAATCTCTTCAATTTATCATTTCTTATAAAAAAATCTCATTTAATAATTTTTTATTCTTTTTTATATGATTTTATTTGTTAATAAATATAATTTACTTTTTCTATGTACAAATTTTCAAATAAGTTTTTTTAAATAACCAATCAATTCAAAATTAAAATTCATGTATTGTATTTGCTTATTTTTTTATATAATCAAAATATATTGAAATCAATTTTTTTATTATTTTTATTGTTGTCAACTAATTAACTTCAATATATTTTTAACAATTAAATTTAAAAAATATTTTTTTGATTTATGCTACATACTATATAAACATACCGAGTCTAGTCATGATATATGTCATAACACAATTTTTAACCCCATAATTTTTTTAAACTTTTTTTTTATTATTATACATGGTGTGGATTTCCCTTGAATTTTTATTTTTATTACTAGTTTTATCATTAGCTTTTAATTTTGGTTTAATTATATCTATCATTTTGTCAAAAAAAAAAAAAAAAGAACGAAACGAAAAAAAAAAGTAGAAGGAAACGAAAACCAAAAACAAAGGAAAAGAAAAGAAAATACCAAAACAATTGGATTAATCCCCCGTTCATCATTTTATTGTTTTATCATTTTATCATAAATACAAAAACAAAAAGAAAAAAACGAAAAGAAAAGAAAATACAAAAAGAAAAAAGGGAATTAATTTCGCATTCTTGGCTTCAATTGCAATCAATTTGAAACATACTATGGGTCAATTCACGAATACTAGAGATCTTGGGGAGCAATCAGAAAAGAATTGGGAGTTAATTGATGGGAATTAAAAATCGAAGAACTAAATTAATCTACTTTAGGGGTTTGATTAAAAGGAAATCGACACATGAAAGGACAAAATTGAAAGAAACACACAAACGACAAAACGAGCTTAAACGATAAGTTTTAGACAACTTGTCTTCCGGTTCCTTATTTTCTCCTCACCCTGCGCCACTGTTCCTCCTTCTTCTTCGCTGCTACCTGTAAAATAAAACAAACACAAAGGCCAGGTTGTTCTTCATGTATGTCCTTAAACCATTTTCTCCTACAGCTAGCCTTGTACCGTCTACCTCTCTAATGCCCAAACAAAAACCCCATGCCGCCTATTGTCTTTCCTTTATTCCCGTAGCCATCAACACTGCTGCAAAAACAAAACAAAGAAATAGATATGAGAGAAAAATATAAAGGAGAAGCGTCCCTCGTACTAGAACAAAAGCAATGGTCAGTATGAAAGGGGATTGATCCTAAGGTAGGCAATGACAGGAGAAGCAGTATATATAGAAGGGTTGACAGCAGCAACGAGGGGGAGAAATTTTGAGGGGTTTCTGGAGAGTGACTTATTTTAGGGCTTTGATAATAGTTCTTGGTGGTGTGTAACTCTAGAGGAAAATAAAGTGAAACTAGATTGAGTGAATCAGTTTTCATACTGGTTTGGCTAAGAAGAACCGAAACAGAGAAGGCGACCGAGAAGAGGAAAAGCAGTGGCTTGTTGCAGCTCAACGATTCAGGCTTCTAGAAGAAAATATAAGAGAAGAAAGATTCGGTCTTGAGGTCTCCTACTTGTTCACTGTCCTTTTTTGCCTAGAAAAGCTTCACTAGGTAAAACTTCTAATCCATGGCTTCACTTTCTCTCTCGAAAAAGCTCCTTCTAAGCTGAAAATAATGGATGGAAAACAATATTGGCATAAACCTCATAGCTATACGAGGGAGGGAATGAAATTTTAGATGTTAAAACCAAAAATAAAAGGAGGGTACATTTTAATTCATTTTCGGGTGTTACGTGTTTCAGCCTCTGTTTTTTTTCTTGAAGGAATAGGAAGGTAAGTCTGTTTTTAAATTATCATCCTCGTACTTATAGGATCCTTGCATTCAAGTTCCTGACGTGAACGATTTGGGGATAAAATTGATAGAGTTTTAATTCTAGAGTTGGTTTTGGTTTTCATTCATTTTTAAATGCTTTCCTTGATTATTTTGATCTGAAATTTTCAGGGTTTATGCATATGTTTTCCTTTAGCCCAGGCTCCAAATTTTGTAATGTTAGGAGTCCATTTACTATTTATTTTCTATTTAGTTTTACCTTATTTTTAATTATTAGTGTAGTTTATTTATAGAATTTAATTATTTAGCCCAATGTTTAATTTATTTTTAATTTGAAATTTTTAGAGCTTGTTCATGTGTCGGTCCTTAGAATGTATTCTAAATTTCATAACTTTAAGAGTTCATTTACCATTTATTTGCTATTTAGTTATTATTCTGCCTCATTTTTAACTATTAGTGTAGTTTGTTTATGGAATTTAATTATTTGGTCAAGTGTTTAATTTTATTTTAATCTTAAATTTTTAAGGTTTGCTTGTGTGTTTGTCCATGGCCAATTTTTTTTTTAAGTTTCACAATTTTATGAGTTTATTTACTATTTATTATTGGTTTGCCATTCATTTTAATTATCAATGTGATTTGTTTAAGAAGTTGATTTTTAAGTCCAATACCTTTTATTATTTTAATCTAAAATTCCTAAGGTTTGTACATATGTCTTTCCATGTTTTGTGTTTTAATTTTTAGTAATTTATGAGTCCATTTACTATTTATTTATAATTTATTTACCATTTTAATTACCGATGTGATTTGTTTTGAAATTTAATTCTTAGGCCTAATATATTTTATTATTTTAATCTAAAACTTTTAAGGTTTGTACCGATTCTTGTTCAAGATCTTTATTTTAATTTTCATAAATTTTAGAGTTTATTTTCTATTTACTTTTAGTTATGCTATTATTATAATTATAGTGTGGTATGTTTATTGTTTATTTAGAAAGATGAGAGATCCTCAAGTCTCGTAGATTCGGAGACCGATGACAATCTCTCATCAAATTCATCTTGTTAATAAGAGAAACTATTCCTTCTTAAGATAATTAGGGAATTTAAATCAACCTAACAAGCTTTCTATTTAACAGGGACAATCGTTAGTCTCGACACCTCAATCACAAAAAAAAAAAAAAAAAAAAAAAAAGAGTGAGAGAAAAAAAAATTATCTAAGAGAATTTCAAGTTAACTTTAAATACCATTAGTTAATTAGTCATTCTTCGACATATCGATAATGTCGGGACTTAATTGGATTCGATATTACATTGACGAAACTTTCGATTTTGGAGTCCGACATCAATTTAATACAATGTCACAATATAAATAAAAATAATAATAATTTGACTTAGACAATAAAAAAAATTAGGAATAGACTTAGGAAATAATCTGGAAAAACTAATTCT